TGACAAAATGTTGTCGAGTCGCCGTTCAATCAAACGTGCGCGCAGATAAGCACTTTAAAGAACACTTCACCAACGATACGCATTGAATGCGGCTATCATCATTACACGTCTACCAGTGCATTTTTTTCTTCTCACGTATCGTCCCACTCGATGATCACCAAGCGCTATACTATATTGTGCGCCGAAGCGACGAAGGCGGGGACACACGGAATGAAAGCCGCGCGTCCTTGACGGGTATTTACGGAGACAATTTTGTGACGTCACCAAGAGCGTCATTACGAGACCTCAACGAGTGGATAGACGTACCGCGTTGCACGGCGTAGAAGTCGCGCTTGCTCTTTCGCTGAGAAATGTAACACAGCGCTATAATTGCTGTATCCTCCTCACGTCATCTGTGTACGTCTCTTTCAAATGAATGGAAAACCGCCGCATACGATCATATCGCCACGTTGTCGTTCTTATAAGAACACGGAAAGCTGCGCACGTGCAAGCATATAGTGACACCCTCGATTCAAGGTCTCCTTACTATAGTGATGCGAAAGCAGTGTAAAAAATAAGTTGGGGAAAGCAACATCATACTTAAAACGGAGTGAATATAAACGAAAAGGTGTCTTGAAGAAGAAAAAGAGAAAAAAGAAGAAAAAGAGAAAAAAGAAGAAAAAAGAAGAAAAGAAAGAATAAAAAAAGAAAAAGAAGAAAAAAAGAAGAAAAAAAGAAAAAAAGAAAAAAAGAAAAAAGAAGAAAAAAAAGAAGAAAAAAAGAACAAAAGAACGAGAAGAAAAAAGAAGAAAAAAAGAAAAAAAGAAAAGAAGAAAAAGAAAAAGAAGAAAAAAAGAAGAAAAAGAAGGAAAAGAAGAAAAAAGACGAAAAAGAAGAAAAAAGAAGAAAAACGAAAGAAAAAGAAGAGAAAAGAAGAAAAGAAGAAGAAGAAAAAGAAGAAAAAAGAAGAAAAGAAGAAAGAAAAAAGAAGAAAAAGAAGAAAAAAGAAGAAATAAGAAAGAAGAATAAGAAAGAAGAAAGAAGAAAGGAGAAGAAAGAAGAAAGAAGAAGAAAGAAGAAGAAGAAAGAGAAAGAAGAAGAATAAAGAAGAAGAAAGGAAGAAAGAAGAAGAAAGGAGAAAGAGGAAGAAGAAAGAAGGAGAAAGGAAGAAAGAGAAGAAGAAGAAGAAGAGAAGAAGAAGAAGAAGAAGAAGAAGAAGAAGAAGAAGAAGAGAAGAAGAAGAAGAAGAAGAAGAAGAAGAAGAAGAAGAAGAAGAAGAAGAGAGCGTTCGCTTTTGTGAATAAAAACTAATTATAGGGATGACTGAATAAATATTATGGAATACAAGGATGACTGTGGCCTCCTTACTGTTTTGTTAAAGGGGAAGCGGGGCTATAGAGTAATAAGACGAAATGAGTTTTCCTAAGCGCCCTATCGTGCGCCGGTGAAGTCTTCGTTCGCAGGACCGCTGCGAAACGGCTGTACGGGCGTAATACTTCGCATTCTGTGTCCTTTCTAAAAGACTGTTAAAATGGCTCAATAAAGACGGGACACACAGAAAGAAGCGCAATACAGAGCCGATTTCGATCATTGCTTCGAACGCAAGGCCTTTCACGGCGCACGCATCAAAGTATCACAAGGACGATCAGAAGACATACGAGGATTTCGTGTGTGTTCTGTCTTTTATTTTCTGCTTAACCTTTTATCCACACCGTCGCGGGTAAAGTGAGCCCCTTTCGGATGCCCATGTTTGCACGCCCTGCCTTTTTATAGAATGAATATATTTTCCAACACGCTCAGTTCCCTGTTAATTATTCTAAGTTTTGCAAGGAATACCATATGAGAAGTAATGGAGGTAAGCTTTTCTTCCCTGTCGGTTTGTTTTCCTCACAAGGCGCCACTGAGCCGAGGATTGGCTGGCAAATAAAATAACACGCAATCGCGCGAAGAGATTGCGGCGCGCGCTTGCGGCAAGAAAAAGCGACAACAGCTGGTTCGCTTCTTCTGTGTTTCGTTTTCTCGTTATAAAATACGTACTCCGGGAATTATGGGTGGGCTAAATTTGCTGGGCGGGTAATGACAACAGGAAATATTGCGCACTGCCTATGCTTATGAACATATTCGCCAAGTGCAACCGAAAAAAACAACAACAACAACCCAGTCTTTCCAGGTGGCACGTGAACATAAGCGAAGGCGTTTGCCTCAACAGAGCACTCATTTAAATTACTTGGACGCACGTTCTCAATCGATTGCTTTCTAATGGTATGGCATTAGGTATTTTTTTCCGTAATTCGGGGGAATTTGTAGTAGGCAGAATAGGCTTATACATAATGAAGAGAAAGTTGAAAAATCCCTAATGGGGCGTTTTATAAACCGATCTACAGTTTTATATTTAAAAAAAATATTTCCCAGCTTAGTTGCTTCGGAAGCTGGTTAATTAACCTCATTAAGCATTTAAGCAGCCAGCAAAACAAAGTGTGGCTTTCTTTATACAATAGTCATCAACGTGCATTTAGTCACGCTATCGTACAGAGTATGTCGACGTAGTTTTAACTCTAGCCGGCTAGATCTATAGCAGGGGCACCCGGTCGACGTTTAATGACGGCAACCATTCGTTGGTGCGTGTCTAACAGGGCAGCGTCGCGATTCCGGCGATGAAAAAAAAAAGCACTGGATACAATGACACAATCTAAAAACATACAACTCGAAGCGAGCTAGAGCCGCGTGTGAGAAACGCACCCGCGATTTCCCAACGATGGCTCGATCGAGTGCTGCAGCACTTAGAGTTTCCCAAAATTAACTAGAGGGCACTCTGGCGCTGCGATCGTTCAGAGACCATTGGAATGATGGGTAGTACACACATTTGCCTAGTCTTCGTACTTGCGGGCGGCGAATCGCATTGCGGATTCGTTTATTGCTGGTTACGGTTTTGTTTTTCAAGAAAGAACGAACCCTTTTGAACTTAAGGACTTGATTCAAAATAGTAAGCTTAAAAGAATAAGGTTGTGAAGCGCAAACGGTGAACATTTTCTAATTTATGTTTTCGTGAGAAAACAGCTCCAAGCCACGCGAACACACACGGAGCCAGACGCAGGCCAGAAGTACGAAAATTAGACAAATGTGTGTACCACCCATCATTCCCATGCTCGTTGAAGCGCCGTGTGTTGCAGCTCCCATAGACACTAGCGCCAGCGTTCCCTCTAGTAAGTATTGTGGGAAACTCAATGCTGCAGCAGAAGCGCGGCCCGCAAGTGTTTCGTTAACTGCGGGCGCACGCGTTTCCGCGCCGACCCGCGTCGATCGGAGGGAAACCTTCAGCTGTCAGCGCAGCCCGCTTCCCGCCTCTTCTTTGTCTGCACGTCGTATTCCGGGCCGTCGCTCGACAGTTCACACTGACTTTCGCTCCTAGACTTTGCACGCGTGTATACTGCAACGGGCAGTCTGTTGAGTACAGCTGATCAACCCAGCCGCCAGATGGCAGCACCACTACTCCCAAACTCCGCAAGTGCACACACTTCGGGGGTGGAAGGATGCGCAGCGAAGTTCGACACGCAATGCGACGCGCGAACTTTTGGGGGAGACTATACACATCAGTACCGTACATACGTGAATGCTAAAGCGTACACACCTCTACCTGCTTGCTACACGCGTATTCACAATAAACAGCTTACTTAGCTCGCATCGCCCCGCCACGGTAATCTAGTGGCTAAGGTACTACTCGGCTGCTGACCCGCACGTCGCGGGATCGAATCCCGGCAGCAGCGGCTGCATTTCCGATGGAGGCGGAAATGTTGTAGGCCCGTGTGCTCAGATTTGGGTGCACGTTAAAGAACCCCAGGTGGTCGAAATCTCCGGAGCCCTCCTTTACGGCGTCTCTCATAATCATATGGTGGTTTTTGGGACGTTAAACCCCACATATCAATCAATTACTTAGTTCGCATCATTTGAATTGTGGGTTCACTCACTTATGAACGATCGAGCGTCTGATATCGAAGTCGGTCGTAAACGAACGTTTGACCATTCACGGTTTATCATACGGCTTCAAGACTATATCTTCACGACGTAAGCCGGTAATCGGCCCGGCTGACGCAGCTAGACAGTAGAGGGCGAATGCGGAGCTGAGCGCGGTAATGCCGTCCATATCCTCCTGAGACCCAGCGTGAGTTAAGGATAATGATTTTTGGTGAAACTCCCAAAAATGACTTTTCTTGGTACGATGGTAAAAAGTGTCATCCAGTTTTCTGGCATCGTACATTGCTTGGGCGTGGCCAATTGTCCAATGTATTGGACATCGGGTCTGAAGGTGTCTCTTGTTGGTTGATGATATTGGAGCAAGCATGAAAAGAAATTGTTTCATTTATTATAAAAGAATGCACACAAATTAAAAACTTTGTAAAATATTTATGGACAACATCATACAAACGACGCACAAGAATGGAGCTTGATTCCAAAAGAACTTGTGGAAGAAACACTTTTTGCACGACTTTCATAATCGCAACAATTCCACGTACATTGCACCCCGAAAAATATTCATGTAAACGGTCGTACTCTTCATACAATCCCAACATCATTTCGAGTGTGCTTTCTCAAAGCAGTGCCTTTCTTTTGTGATGCAAAAAAAAAGTTTGCATTTGGTACAAAAAAATTTAGTTTTCATTGAGCAGCCCTCCCATCTACAACGAGCAGCATTGGGGATGTCGGCAAGCCTTGGCATGTGGCCCACGGTTTTTGTTCTCACCTCACTTGGAGGCAGGGGAGCTCGTTTTTTTGGAGGAGACCAGAGTGCGTCGTCATCGTCACTGCTCAACTGGCTCATCTGGGCCACACGTCACTGCTCAACTGGCTCACGTCAGCGACTGACATCCGAAAGTCAAGGAACATTAAAATATCTTTTTTCTGTTTGCGCAAACTGGACATGTCTTGCATGTACAAGATCCAAGCGTTGCAGAGTGCGATGTCAAACAGGTGAAAAATACAGCGTATCGTCCACTTCTTTACACGGGCTTTATACGGTAGAAGCTTAGCATGCGGTCGGCCATATCGACTCCTCCCATGTTAGCATTGTATGCCTGGACAATGTGGGGCCTCGGGACATCTATGTGCCTTTTTTCTTTGGCACACCAGCGTCTGCAAGTGTCTTGTGGTTCTTTTCCATGCAACGACGACATCAGTGTCACCGGCTTGTTGTCATACCATCTGACAAAAACCTGTTTATCGTCGTTTCGGACCCACATCTCTGATGCGCCACGACCCCTCTGTTTAAGCTGCGATTCCGACGAAAGCTTTACAGTCTTTGGCACACGATTGTTCATAACTGTGCCGGTTGCTGCAATCCCTTTTTCGGCCAGCTTGTCGAGTAGCCCTGAAGAAGTGAAATACCTGTCGAAAAAAAGCTTCGTTCCTTTGGTTAGACTTTTTGTCAGCCTCAGTACCGCGGATTCACCAATGCCTGAGCTCCCAGGGTGAAGAAGCGACTTTTTTCCCTGATAGATTTCAAAGTCAAGGATAAAGCCAGAGGGACTAGCCAACACAAAGTTTTTTAACCCTTCTGGGTTAGGTTTCCTTGGAACAAACTGCTTCAGGTGGGTACGCCCAGTGAAAGGTATCATTTGCTCGTCAATACTCAAAAGTTCTTCGCGAGGAAGACGCAGACACCCATTTTGTACCTCAACAACAAGCGGCCGTATCCTCCACAACCTGTCCTGCGCTTTCGTGGCATCATCTACGTCAAGGGCATTCACAACTTTGAGTCGCGACCTCAGTGTGAAAAAACGCTCTCTTGTCATGTGGTTTGCAACTAAAGGCACCTTCGTTCGTTTTGCCCAGTACATACGAATTTGAGGCTACCCAAGACACGACATTGTGATCGAAAGAGCAAAAAAATACTTTCAGCTCTTCAGGAGTCGTGCAAAGGCTCTTCCCGGTCTCGACCACATGTGCAGTGTTCATAGCGGTAGACATCGTCTCCCACATTTCATCCGAAATGTATTCTTGAAAGTACTCGAACGGTCGCCACAGGGCTCGCACTTCACCGCTGTCTGAGGTGACGTTGAAGTCCGGCAGCCATGCCTGGGGAGAACTGCAAGTAAAGGGGGCTTATTTGTTTATTTGTTTTTTTTATTTATTTATTCACTCATTGATTCATTTATTTATTTGCTTCTTACAAGAAGCATTACAAGAAGCTGGTACTGTGCTAGAAAAGACATTTCTCAAACGACGAGGGCGAAATATTTGTTTTGAAATTAAGGTAAGCTCGCGTCTTCGTCACCAGAAATAGTAAGTCATACCTGTCGGTGGTTTTCCAAAGCGCGGCCCTTTTTGGAGCAGCAGGTGCAGTGTGTACGGGTTCCTCGTCACTGCTGTCAACATCCGGTTCTAAATGTTTCTCCAGGTCATCCAAAACGGCAACGTCCTCAGGCGCTTCTTCATCGCTGTCAGACAGGTCCAAGTCGGATGATTCCCTGGCTGCAATTCTTTCGAGTATTCGCTCGGCCGTTTCGTCACAAACGCGTGGTCGGTTTCCTGTAAAAAAACAGTAATAACACTTTTACCAAAAAAAACGAGACAGCGAAATACAGGCAGATCCATTAAGCAAATAAAAACATATTGAAAGAAACGAACGGGCAAAAAAATGTGGGTTCGGTCCCGTTGTCCAATAAATTGTACATCACTATCCCATGGAGATGTAGAAACTACGGATGCAATTCTGTACCCGCCTCGCAAATTAACGCGTTCTGGGTACGTTATACTTTCTTTCTGGTCGTAAAAATCATGGCAAAAGACTCGAAAAGTAGAAAAATCTCACTTACTTTCACGCACGCTGCCGTAAAATGCAGCGTTGCTGAAGGCTGCCATCTTGACTGCGTCCCACCAGGCTTGCTCTCGACCAATTTTTGTCCCACGCCGCTGGTGGCGCTAGTAGTTGTCCTATTTGTTGGACAGCCGGTTTCAGGGGCGTCGGAACAGCCATTATTTCTGTACTTTCCCAGAACCGTTGTCCAATAAATTGGACAAAATCTCCATAGCGGGGTCTCAGGAGGATATAGCACGCGCTGACCTCTGAGAAGGCTCCCAGTATAGGCAGAGAAGACTCGCGACGCGCGAAACACTGCCGGTGACGCACGCGTACGCACGGCTGTCACGGACTCTCCTCGCCCATCTGCGGCGTAAACAGGGCGCAGTCCTTTGTGCAGAGCGCGAGTGAATGCTCTGTTGACGTTGTTACATACGCGACGCATTTTCGTATGAAGAGAGAACGCCGTCACAAAGACGAACAAAAAAGCAAATCAAGAGCGAAATAAAGAGAGAAAGTAATTGAAATAATGATAAAATGGGGGAAAATTGAAAAGTATGACTCAATATACTACATTTAGTGCTCAGATTTGGGTGCACGTTAAAGAACCCCAGGTGGTCGAAATTTCCGGAGCCCTCCACTACGGCGTCTCTCATAATCATATGGTGGTTTTGGGACGTTAAACCCCACATATCAATCAAATTACATTTAGTCTATAGCTATAACAGCACGAACATAACACGAAACCAACAAAAGACAGGACTGAGAGGTGCCTTCAGGTTTACTTCAGGTTTACCAATTCAGTTCTTAACTATGGGACCTCCTTCTGTATATACTAATTATGTATTCTCGGGTGCACGTTAAAGAAACCCAGGTGGTCAAAATTTCCGGAGCCCTCCACTACGGCGTCTCACATAATCATATGGTGGTTTTGGGACGTTAAACCCCACAAATCATTAAATATGTATTCTCTCCTTTGTGTGACGTGAAAAATAAAATGATTCTGAATTCTGACTTTAATCTTAGATGCCTTATCAATTAAGTGCAATAATGGACCATCGGCGTCAGCGGCCCATCAACACGAGTAATGCAAAAAGGTTACCAAGCGATGACGTCATCACACGGAGATAAATACGACCGACTCAGAAGAAGATGGCTGCCGCCTTCGAGTTGCCTTGAACGAATACACGCGAGCTTATTGGTTGAGCAGGCCTTGCATATTTGGTATAGAAATACCAAACAAGATATCGAGATATCTGAAGGGGAAGAAAATCGGCACAGTTTCCGTGCGCAAACATGCCATTCACTTCCAGAACAAAATATACACGTCGCGATAACAAAACAAAATAAAGATCTAATAGGATTTCACTTAAATATATAAGTAAAAATATTTTAAAGTCATTTCACAGGATGTGAATACCAAGTTGCAAAAGCGGATTACGCGGTGGCGCACGTCACCGTGGAAGGTTCTTTTTTTTTTAATATCTTGGTTTCTTTCGGCGATATCTTGTCTGATGGTAACGACAATTTCCACAAATATACAAGCTGACCGCAAAATAAACACTCAGTTGAAGTCAGCACCCTGTCCTATAATTCCGCTTCTTTTTTTCTTCTATGTGTTTGTGTTGTTAAACCAACGAACTATGTACCACTAATGACCCTGCCAGAAAACGTTACTGAAGTTCAAATATATTACGTTTCGGGGTCGTAAAAATAGCACCGTTAAAGCTGGCAATACAGCAGGGCGAAGACTGATAAGGTCACAATTTCACCGTTGCATCACGCAGCGGTCTTGGCTACATGTAAATATTTCGTACTGCATTGCACCTGGGCACCCATCGCTTGGAGCGGTATGTTTTTTTTTATTTATTTATTTGTATATTCATTCACCGATGTCCCGCCAACACGTGCGACAACCTCCGTTCCCGAATTTCGCATTTTGGAACTCTATTTCGCTGTTGTCCGCGAGCGGCGCTGACACGTGCTCTTATACTCGAAACGTGCCGATCCAGAGCCGGCGCACAGCGTCAACTACCGCGCTTGTGTTCCTGTGAAACTTGCTTGCAAGCGGTGTGCTAAGTTACCTCCCCTGTTGACGGCTTCAAAGGGGACGTTTTCTGATGCGCTTGCGCCCCTCTGTGAGCTGATAAGGGCGGCCGAGTGCTCCGCCAAGGTCCTTCCGAGTTCACCGTCCGCTGGGAAAACTTGAAGCGGAAGAAAAATATTAAGCCACCACCCGACGCGACTACGAGGAATACTGTTAAATTTGATTGATTGATTGATTGATGATTGATTGATTGATTGATTGATTGATTGATTGATTGATTGATTGAGTGGTTGGTTGATTGATTGATTGCCATGGTGGTCTAGGGGCTAAGTCACTCGGCTGCTGACCTGGAAGCGGAAATGTTTAAGACCCGTGTGCTTAGATTTAGGTGCACGTTAAAAAATCCTACGTGGTCATTCATAGTTTCTGGAGCTCACAGCTACAGTTTCTCTCATAATCATATGATGGTTTTGGGTCGTTAAAACAGAACAATTGATTGATTGATTGATTGATTGATTGATTGATTGATTGATTGATTGATTGATTGATTGATTGATTGATTGATTGATTGATTGATGATTGATTGATTGATTGAGTGAGTGAGTGAGTGAGTGAGTGAGTGAGTGAGTGTAAGCAGGATCTGAGCTTGAAAACTTCGCGCTAAAGAGACCAAACAGTGTGATTCCACGTAAGATCAATCAAAAAACATGACTAGTCGACCTCTTAAATTTCTTTTAGTTTGATGTACATTTGCCTGGTGAGTGGGAAGAAGAGATCCGTAATTGGTTTTGCTGGAAATCTTTTTTCGAAGGACGGTAAATCAATAATGATGAAGAGGTGGAGTGGCGCGCTTACCTGCTCTGCTGTGTATGTGTGTGTGTGTGTGTGTGTGTGTGTGTGTGTGTGTGTGTGTGTGTGTGTGTGTGTGTGTGGTGTGTGTGTGTGTGTGTGTGTGTGTGTGGTGTGTGTGTGTGTGTGTGTGTGTGTGTGTGTGTGTGTGTGGTGTGTGTGTGTGTGTGTGTGTGTGTGTGTGTGTGTGTGTGTGTGTGTGTGTGTGTGTGTGTGTGTGTGTGTGTGTGTGCTTTTTCTTTGCTTTGACAATAAATTACACAAAATTTTCAAAGCTACGTGCTTCACACTTTTTTAGCTAAATATTGACGTACTTTCGTTTGTGGTTGATTAGATTTCGATTCTCATCGCAATGTACAATTTTTCATAAAAATTCTCGAATTTGACATAAAAACGTTTTTTTTTTTTGCCAGCTTAGTTTGCAGAACTTTATTTTAAAAAGGGCCTTGTACAGGCTGGTGAAAATTCCCCATTACTTTCTCAGCATTCTATTTTACACACCTGCCAAAGCCTATTATAATAATACTTTTCAATAAATAGGTATAAACGCACTAACTTTGAACAAATAGTATGCAAGGAAAATTTCTGACGACGATTGAAAAAAACATTTTTGATATGTTTAAACTTTCCCCTCTTAATTTACGGCACATGAGCTTTGACAATGCATAAAAATATGCTGCATATTATGGTTTCACTTGCGTTTACGGCCCGTCAAAAAAAAAATGGCAGCATATCCACGGAGTGAATGATGGAGAGTGGTGCGAAGCATCCGTCCGTCCATTCGTTCTTGCTTCCGTCCATCCATGCGTGCGTCTGTGTGGCCGCCCGTGCGTACATCCGCCCGTCCGTGCGTGCGTCTGTTCGTGCGTCCACACGTCCATCTGTGCGTCCGTCGCTGCGTTCGTCCATGCATGCGCTCCTGCATACGTCCATGCGTCCATCCGTCCGTGTAGCCATCCGTGCGTCCGTCCATGCATCTGTCTGTGTGTCCGTTAGTCCACCTATTCAACACTCCAGGTACCACCATCTCGCATCTTTTCATCATATATTCCTCATATCGAAGCACCGCCATCCAGCGGACATTCCAAGGACTGAACGATAGGAGGCACACGCACACTTTCTTACGGCTTGCGCTTCGTGTCTACATCCCACCTTTAACCACCTCGAATTCATGGTATATACTAGTTCACTGTATTCATGGCACTGCGGCCCAACGCTCCCTAAACCTTTCTAAAACGAAGGAGGTTACGCCCAGCAAGTATAACGTAGCAACCCTTTCTTGTCAGATAGTGCTCAATGTACATGCAAATGGCTGCTAAGGGGGAATGAGAGACAGGAGAATTCGGCTTTTAGTTAACGCGCACGCTGCGATTTTTTTATCTGACAAAAACAAGTGTATACGACCTTTTGTCTATAAGTGTAGGTGCTATGCTGATAAGTTCTCCGTTCAGGGACTCCGACAATTTCGCATCCATGTGCGCAGCTTTATGGCAAAGTCGAGATTGAAACTTTATTCCGCAACAAAGACATGTTACGAGGACGGCAGGTAAAAGCTATGAGAACAGCTCGAGTATTCACGTTGACTTGAGTTCAAGTGAACATGAATATAATAATAATAATAATAATAATAATAATAATAATAATAATAATAATAATAATAATAATAATAATAATAATAATAACTGGTGGGGTTTCACATTCCAAAACCAAATGAGGGACGTCGGTGTGGTGGACTCCGGAAATTTCGACCACCTGACGTTCTTTATGGCGTGCACCTAAATCTATGCGCACGCACGGGTCTCAAGCATTTTCGCCACCAACGAAACAAGCACAGCATGTGCGGAAGAAATACTGTATACGGACACCCTAATGAAGCAAATGTAAGTGCACGTTTGCATTTCGCCTAGTTGCTTTCATGGACCCTAATAATCTAATAATATGTAGGGTTTTACGTCCGAAAACCACCGTATGATTATGAGAGACGCCTTAGTGAAGGGCTCCCGAAATTTTGACCACCTGGTGTTCTTTAACGTGCAATGACATCGCACAGTACACGAGCCTCTACCATTTTCCCGTTTTTCATCCCTTCCCCAGTGCAGGGTAGCAAACCGGATGTGCATCTGGTTAACCTCCCTGCCTTTCTTTGCATCTTTATCTCTCTCTCTCTC